GCTGAATTACAGCCATCTACCACCACGGCTAGCTAATTCTTGTGTTTTTAGTAGGAAAGGGGTTTCACCATGTTGGCACGCTGGTCTCGAACTCCTGACCTTGTGATCTGCCCACCTCAGCCTCCCAAAGTGCTGAGATTATAGGCATGAGCCATTGTGTGGGCGACACCACGTATTTCAAGGCCTCCAGGAAGAAATATCCCCTTTGGAGGGTGGGAGGAAGCCACCAGTGCAATCACGTTGATTCCCTAATTCTGACCAAAGGAACAAATGCAGTAAACCCATTGTCGGTTTTGTGTCTTTTAAAATGTTGGAAGGTAGTTACGATGTTGCCTCTTGGTCTTCCATCCTCATAATTATTCACCTATAACTGCATTAGCTGTTCCTCATATTTTTCTGACTCATTTGTCACACACTGCCCGAATGCCCTTTTTGTCAATGTGTCCCTCCCAGTTTTCAGCATCTAAAACTGAACACAGTTGCTCTGGATATGCTAGGTTGGCTAGTATAAAGTACGATGGAGCTGTTACTCCCAGTTTGGAACATCAAACTCTCTATGAATGCTACATCATACTGGTGGTCAATATATCCTTAGTTCCCCAGGTCCTCCAGGTCTTTCCCACCCTGAACTTGTCTCTCACTGAAACTTTGCATTTAACATTCAATTTCTTCTTGCTTTGGGTTGGAATATCAGCCACCAGCAGGATAACTATGTACTTCAGTGTGTCCAACCAGATTAGCTCTGCTACCTAGCTCTGTACATTTCCACATTTACAAACATGATTCTGTGTTTCCATCCTGCCAGTTTCAAGGAAAGACAATCATCTTTGTGTGGGAAGAAAATAATAAACTACAGAGGTGACCTTCACAAACAGTATGCACCAGCTAAAATAACCTGTGCTTTCTCTTCTTTAAAAGCAGACAGTTGGGCCGGTGCCGGTGGCTCAAGCCTGTAAATCCCAGCACTTTGGGAGGCTGAGCTGGGTGGACTGATGTCAGGAGATTGAGACCAGATCTCAAGGCACACAGTGAAACCCGTCTCCCTACTAAAAATACAAAAACTAGCCGGGCGAGCAGGCATGGGGCTTCGTAGTCCCAGATACTCAGGAGGCTGAGGCAGGAGAATGGCGTAAACCCTGGAGGCAGAGCTTACAGTGGGCTGAGATCCGGCCACTGCACCTGCAGCCCTAGCGGCAGAGCTTGCAGACTCTGTCTCAAAAAAATAAATAAATAAAAATAAAAATAAAAGACAGTTGGTAATACTGGCCTCAAGGGCTCAGATTGATAACAAAATGATAACATTTGAGTTAGGCTCATGAAGTGAGAATGTGGCAGTTGAATCAGTTAATTGTTCGCTGTAAATTAATGTAAGGTATCAACAATCATCTTTCAAAGGATTTGAAGGAGTAGGAGAGACTGGCCACTTCTTTTGTATTCTTAGCACCATCCTGCCTGATAGGTGAAGAAGAGCTCAATGCAGCTTTTTAATGTGGGCAAACACCCAAAGTTCCTATTGAGACAGTTTTTCACAGAGGGGAAGGAGACAAGTCTACTATTTTTTCTTTTTCTTTTCTTTTTTGAGTGAGACAGAGTTTTGCTCTTGTTGCCCAGGCTGGAGTGGCCGCACGACCTGCTCACTGTAACCTCCGCCTCCCGGTTCAAGCGATTCTCCTGCCTCAGCCTTCCGAGGCTGGGATTACAGGCATGCACCACAACTGGCTAATTTTGTATTTTTAGTAGAGACAGGGTTTCTCCATGTTAGCCAGGCTGGTCTCAAACTCCCGACCTCAGGTGATCCGCCCGCCTCAGCCTCCCAAAGTGCTGGGATTACAGGCAAAAGCCACTGCACCTGGCCAAGTTGACCATTTTTTAATTAGTTTGTGTTTAATCTGAAAACTTCTCCAACTATCTTCCATCAGTGTCAAGTTCTCCCTTTTCCTCCTTCTCCTTCCTCTCCCACTCTCTCCTCCTCCTTTTTCCTTCTGGCCATCCTCTACTCCCTTCCTCTTCCTCTTCTCACCCTCTCTCTTTTCCCTCACTCCCTTCCCATCCTTCTCCTCCCTGCAAATCAACCCACAGGCTGAAGGAGGTAGAAGCTCAATATCCGGCCCCCTGATTCAAAGCTCAGGCTGTCACCTGGGTCCTTGTATCCACATCTACCAATTTTAAGGACTCTAGGGAACAATATCCTCTTGAGGGGTGGGGAGGAAATAACTAGGCACCATATTGATTCCCAGATGTCTGAAATTCCACTGATAACTTGCAAGCTTCATTCCTTTGGCTTTAGGCTTTAAACTGTTTAAATACCAAATATATGTTTAGATTTGAAAAGACGGTAAACGTCAGAGATTTAGGTATAATGTGTAAGACAATTTCTCTAGCCTGCAAAGAAAGGGACTGATTGTTGGACAAGATTAATGAGAGAGGAAACCTGTCTAGGCCTCACACAAGGGAAGCTAGGGATATAATCAAGAGGCAGTGGAACATGACTTCTCAGAGCCTCTCTCTGAATGCTGCTCCTCCTCCAGCAGTAAACATGCTCTGTCTCTGCAGAACTACCTCCATCCTTACTCACTGCAGTCTTCCTTAATCGCTTGTCAGGAATGACCTTCTCTACAATATTATCAGTCTTCTTAGGTGTGCTAATATTGTTGTTGTGAGGAATAATATGCTGGCTTTTAGGAGATGCACACTGAAACATTTAGACTTAGTGTCATGCCATCCACAACTTGATTTCAACGGTACAACAAAAAAAAATAGAGAGGAGAGAGCACACAAAAGCAAGCAATTATAGCCAAATGCTAACAGTGATCAAGCAAAACGACTTCCAAAACTTTCACAATCCTGGGTTTGTCCTCATGGTATGTTTTCTGGTTTTCCTGGCTCCTCTCAAAATGCAGCAAGGTGGTGGCTCATGCCTGCGATCTCAGCACTTTGTGAGGCTGAGAGTGGGAGGATAGCTTGAGCTCAGGTTTGGAGCTTGCGCCTGAGGGGCCAGCCTGGGCAAATATGGTGAAACCCTGTCTCTATAAAAAAATAAAATAAAAATTTTAGGCCGGGCATGGCTCGCCACTGTAATCCCAGCACTTTGGGAGACTGAGGGAAGACACCTGAGGTCAGGACTTTGAGACCAGCCTCTGGCCAATGGGCAGCGCCCATCTCTACTAAAAACACAAAAATTTGCCAGGTGGTGGGCGTGGGCCTGTAATCCCAGCTATTCACTGAGGTTGAGGCAGGAGAATCGCTTGAACCAGGGAGGCAGAGGTTTTGGTGGAGTTGGGAGATCACATCGCACTCAAGCCCGGGTGACAGAGTGAGACTCCGATAAATTAAAAAAAAAAAAATTTCCTGAATTACTGGTGGCATGGTGGTGAAAGTTTCATAGTCCCAGCTGCTTGGGAGGCTGAGGTGGGAGGATCACTTGAGCCTGTGCTGAGGTGGCTGCAGAGAGTTATGATTGTGCCACTGCACTCCAGCCTGGCCGACAGAGTATCTGAGACCCTGCCTCAAAAAAAAAAAAAAAAAAAAATGCAGCAACTACAATTATTAATAGTAGTTGCCATTTGCTGAGTGTGTGCTACATACCATGTGCCAGTGCTTGACACTTTCATACATCATGTATAATGCTTACAATAACTTCCAAAGTTGATGTTTTTATTTTACGGAAAAGTAAACAACTCAAGAGCAATCAGGGAATTAATTGGTCTTACAGCCACTACTCAAGTCCAGACCTCTCAGACTCCAAAGCTCATGCTTTTTCCATTGCATCATGCTCTGTCGTGAACTGCATGGGCAGTGTCTGCACATAAACAACCTGGGAAGGTGCAGGCGCACACACACACACACACACACACACCCTCCAGCAGAATTATATATACAGCCGTCAAGGGAAAACTTCCGTCTGTGCTCTGCTAAGATTCATTGGAAAGTACTGACAAGAGGCAGATGAAGGTAGAAAAGGCATACAAATTTATTAAACTGTTCAAGAGTGTTTGACCTTTTTGCTTCCCCGAGCCACACTGGGTAATACACTAATATCTTGGGCACACATAAATACACTAACAACAGCTGATGAGCTTAAAAAAAAAAAAAAAAAGTAAAATCGCAATAAAATCTCATAATAGTAGGAGTGTGGCCTGCTGTAATCCCGGCACTTTGGAAGGCCGAGGTTGGTGGATCACTGAGGTCAGGAGTTTGAGACCAGCCTGGCCAACATGGTGAAACCTCATCTCTACTAAAAATACAAAATGAGCCAGGTGTGTGTGCGTGCCTGTAGTCCCAGCTCACTTGGGAGGCTGAGCACCACAAGCTCCGGCTGGAACCCAGAGGCAGAGGCTTGCTGAGCCAAGATTCCGCCATTTACTCCAGCCTAGTGACAGGAGTAAGACTGTCTCAAAAAATACACACACACACACACACACACACACACACACAGAGCGCTCCTGCCCACCTCAAGGTGTCTTAAGGTTCGTGAGAATCTTTAAGAAAATGTAAATATGGCCTGGCAATGTGTGGCTCATGCCTATAATCCAATCCAGCACTTGGGAGTCCAGTGCAGGCGGATCACCTGAGGTCAGGAGTTCGAGACGAACCTGGACGCACATGGTGAAACCCCATCTCTACTAAAAATACAAAATTAACCAGGTGTGATGGCACATGCCTGTAATCCCAGCTATTCACAAGGCTGAGGCAGGAGAATGGCTTGAACCCAGAGGCGGCAGTTGTGGTGAGCCAAGATCATGCCACTGCACTCCAACCTGGGCGATTGATGCGAGACTCCATCTCAAAAATAAAAAGAAAAGAAAGAAAGAAAGAGAGAGAATGAGAGGGAGAGAGAAAGGAAGGAGGGAGGGAGGGAGGGAGAGAAGGAAGGAAGGAAGGAAGGAAGGAAGGAAGGAAGGAAGGAAGGAAGGAAGGAAGATATAAATACCTTTAGAGATAAAATTTATCTAACTGACTGTAGGCACAGTCATCTGAGAAAAAGTCCCTCTAGCAGAGACATGAGCAGGGAAGAGAACCAACATTTTGTGGGAGACTCCTATGTGCGCCACGGTGCCAGCTGCTTTCCCCAGTATCTTTTAATTCCATTTTGCATGGAAACACTAAGGCCCAGAAGGTAATTCTCTCAAGCTCCCAGAGGTCCTTGATGGCACCCAGGTGCATGCAAAAGCTCCCACTTAAGGCTGAGGCGGGCTGATCACCCGAGGTCAGGAGTTTGAAACAGCCTGGCCAACACGGTGAAACCTTGTCTCACAAACACAAAATTAGCCAGGCATGGTGGCGCACGCCATAATCCCCGCTTACTCAGGAGGCTGAGGCACAAGAATCAGCGACAACCTGAGGCAGAGGTTGCAGTGAGCCAGAGATTAAGAATCACTTAGGCCTGGCAACAGAGTGAGACTCTGTCTAAAAAAGAGAGAGAGAGCCCAGCCCTCTCTGCTTAGGTTAAAAAAGAAAAAAAAAGTACTGAAGATCCTTTGGGCAATGTAAAAAAATGTAAAAAGATTTAATGTGAAGAAAAAGCAAGCAAGCAAGAAAGAAAAGGACAGAAGGAGAAGGACTCAGAATTGGTGGTAGAAATCGAGTGCCCTCCTGAGTCTAACCAACTGAAGTTCAAGGAAGACTAGAAGTGTATGCTCTGATCTCGTGGCTCTGCCTGATAAAGCCATTTGTATTCACCGAGGGGCCTTCCCAGACTGCTGTATTTAATTCTGGATATGGTATAAATAGGGACTATTGACTGTCAAAGCACACCCACCACAGTGTTCCGGTCTTTTTGGGACATCAACCGAATCTGTTTCTACCTCTAGTGGCTTAATTGGCAAACTTTGTAGCTGGCTTTTGGATTTGTTATTGAATGTTTAAGTATCTATTGTATGCACCAATTGGTGCTGGGTTCTCTAGCTCTGCCTGGAGTAGGGCACTGGTTTCATTTGAGCATTTTTGTGTCCAGTGGAAAGTGGATCGTTGCTTTGGTGAGCTCTTCCCACAAAGCTCCTTCTTACAAAGTTTAGCTTAGTATAGTGCAAACCGTGAATTTCCCAGCCGTTCTAAAGCTGCTTTATTGTAATTCTGGGAGGATGGGTTATTATATGGATTATTTCTTACTACTAAATGAGTTTTTTAGGACTTTGCGCTGCCTCTTTACCCTGGTCTTAGTTTGTTCATTGGTAAAATGAGCACATGTGGCTGGCACTAAATAATCAACAACATTAATTGAACACTGCAGTGTGAGACCCTCACAGTACTCATGGGAAGGCAGTAATGAAATGGTACTTGATCTCAAGGGAGCTTATATGGGATAATGGAGAACCAGACATCCTGAAGCCACATAAAATTAGCAGGAGGAGGTTGGGCATAGAGTCAAGACTCATAATTCCAGCACTTTGGGAGGCTGAGGCGGCTGGATCACTTGAGGCCATGATGCTTGAGACCAGCCTGACCAACATGGTGAAATCCTGTCTCTACTAAAAATACAAAAAAAAGGCATGTTGGCACATGCCAGTAACTCTAGCTACTTGGGAGGCTAAGGCAGGAGAATCACTGAACCTGGGAGGCAGAGGTTGCAGTGTGAGAGGAGATTGGCGCCACTGCGCTCCAGCCTGGGTGACAGAGCAAGACTGTCTCAAAAAAAAAAAAAACAAACTGATGGCACGGTGGCCCTCGCCTGTAATCCCATCACTTTGGGAGGCTGAGGTGGGCAGATATCACAAGGTCAAGAGATTGAGACCATCTTGTCCAACATGGTAAAACCCTGTTTTGCAGCTAAAAATACAAAAATTAGCTGCGGTGAGTTGCTTGTGCCTGTAGTCCTAGTTACTTGGGAGGCTGAGGCAGTGGAGAATCGCTGAACTAGGGAATCGGAGGCTGCACTCCAGCCTGGCGAAGGAGAGAGACACTTCTGTCAAAAGAAAAGAAAAGAAAAGAAAAAACCTTAAAAGATAGCACAAAGGGCCAATCTAGGTTCTACAATAGTGGTGTTATTTGCAGGAATAACTAGGAAGTTACATACATTTTTTCTTTTTTAGAGACACTCTGTCACCCATGCTGAGTGCAGTGGTGCAATCATGGCCTACTAAGTAGCCTCGACTTTCCAAGCTCAGGTGATCCTCCCACCTCAGCCTTGCATATCTTATCACCTCTGCGAATGGCTGACAATGGCTTATGTCTGTGTTTCAACCAGGATTTAGGCTCCTTCCCAGCCTGATGGCCTCATTAGCTTTCTTTGCAAAGCGGTTGAGTTTTAAAGGCCTATTATCATTTGAACTATAACCTAATGTCTTCCAAAGTTATCTCGGCCCAGTAGCCCGGGAATAATTAAGGGAAAGGGAAGATCTAGGTGGGTTAGTTTAGCTTACTGTTATAATTCCTTCCCACTGATATAACACTGGCAAAGGCCATTTCCAGATGCCTGAGGGCTTCTTCCCTGCAGGCTCAGCCTCCAAGCAGCCTTGCTGTAGAATGAAGCACCACCGCCCTGCTCCATTCTTCCTCATCTCATTTCCCTGAAAGCAAGAATACCAGAAGTCTTTTCCTTCCCACAAATTGGCTGTTGATCAATTTTGTAAATAAACAGGGAATTAGGGAATTAGAGAATTAGAAAATAAACAGAGAGGCTGATTTGGTGGTCACACCTGTAATCCCAGCACTTTGGGAGGCTGAGGCGGGTGGATTACCTGAGGCCGAAGTTCGAGACCAGCCTGGCTAACATGGTGAAGCTCCGTCTCTACTAAAATACAAAAATCAGCCGGTGTGGCACACGCCTATAATCCCAGCTACTCCAGAGACTGAGACAGGAGAATCCCTTGAACCCGGGAGGCACAGGTTGCAGTGAGCTGAGATCACGCCACTGAACTCCAGCCTGGGTGACAGAGCAAGACTCCATCTCAAAAAGAAAAGAAAAGGCTATTTTATATTTTGAAACCATCTGACAGAAAGCTACAGAGAATGGAAGATAGAACTTGGGGTGATACAAGAATGTGTGTTTCTATGGAGGTAAGAACTCTCAACAGCCCACTTGTTCTACAAGGTATTTCTGCACTTACAGAGAGAGGCTGAGGTCAGCCGGGCGGCAGTGGGGGAGGAGGGTAGTAACTCACACCCTAGGAAGGCTCTAAGGAGCAACCTGGAACCCAGCCTGTGACCTGGCATTGAAGCCGCTTCCCGTTTTGGGGAGGATGCCAACCCCTGACACTCTCCCTCCTGTCTCAGAAGGAAAAAAAGTGTTTTGTGAATGTTAAGGGTACCCAGACCTGAGACAGTTTAGCCCAGGCATAATGGATGGAAATAGAAGTATTTCTAAGAGTCGGTTTAGAGGCACAAGAGAAATGAAAATGAAGAAATAAAGCAAAGCAGGGCTGTGACTTCCTCTAACACAACAACTGAGGGTGGACAATTATTTGGGAAGCAGGGTGAGCATCAGCAGTGGAAAGGAGGTGCTGTGGAAAGAACACAGGAGCTCTGTTGACAGATGCCTGCATTACACGGACTTGAATCTAAACCTGCGCTTCTACCTCCCAGCGCTCACCCCCAACAAAACACACTCGTACTACTGGCTTCCCATCACTGCTACTGTGATCACCATCCCACCAGTCATGCAAGTTTAAAAACACACGTTTGCTTTTTTTTCAGAGAGAGTCCTCTGATACACCCAGGCTGGAATGCAATAGTATCCGCTCACTGCAACCTCTGCCTCCCAGGTTCAAGTACAGATTCTCCAGCCTCAGCCTCCCGAGTAGCTGGGATTACAGGCAACCCACACACATGCTGGGCTAAGTTTTGTAGTTTTAGTAGAGATGGGGTTTCACCATGTTGGCCATGGTTGGCCAGGCTGGTCTCAAACTCCTGACTCTGTGCGATCTGCCTCCCTAGCCTCCCAAAGTGCTATGACAGCAGGCATGAGCCACCATGCCTGGCCCACCTTGCTTTTAATCCATTTTCTTCTCCCCAGATCCAGTCAGTTGCTGTATTCGTAGTTTTGACTATCGTAGAGCCACCTCACAAATCCATAATTTGTTTTTTACTACCTTCACCACTATCCTAGTGCATTCTTACTTTGAAAATTTAATAGCATTTTCACAAATGTATAACCAATATTTCCCTTTTTCCTAGGTGCATTCAAATAGCTCAAATCTTATTATCTCTTCCTAAGCAAGATCAATACTGTGCTCACTGCAGCAGGAAAGGGCTTTATCCCATCAACTGCTTCACTTTCTTTTCCAGCATAATTTGTTTTATTTTTACGCACTTTCTACACCAGCCAAGCTGAACTATTACCACATTTAATAACATCCGCCCTGCCGCCTCTCTCATCCCAGCCTTTGATCCTGTCATCTCCAACATCTTAACACCTTTCCTCCTCTATTCTATCCAGTGAATTCCATTTTCCAAGCTCCATATTAAATGCCACCTTCTCCATAGTAAAATAAATTGCCTTGTATCAGAGCCACTGTACAAACACTATACTAGATGATTTACATATCGTTGTTTCTATATTATTTACAAAACCTTGGAAGGATTTGTGAAGCTTTTCCTGAACCTCATAATTAATTGCCTATAATTTCTCTCCTCTAAATTTGTACTTCCTTTCATCAATGAATAATTTCCTCTGTCTTTCATCCTTCTAAATACATACTGGTCAGCAACAACTGTATGGTTAGATTTAAAGAAAATAAGAAGGCTCATCTCTACAAGGTTTTCTCCAGCTTCAAATGGCTGTGACTCATAACTTAAGAACATGAGTTTTTGGGCAACTTAGTGCAGTTTCCATGAGTATCATCTTCTTCAAAGCCTCTGCTAATAGAAGACAGAAAGATCAAAAAACACAGTTGTTTCCAGGCACAGTGGCTCATGCCTGCACCTAGCACTTTGTGAGGCCAAGGTTGGAAAATCGCTGAGCCTGTAGAAGTAACCTGGGACCTGGCACGATAACAGAGAAGACCCTGGGTCTCTACAAAAATTAGCTGGCATGGTGGCAGCGGCCTGCAGTCTTAGCTTCTCTGAGCTGAGGGGGAGGATTGCTTGAATCGGGTGAGGTCAAGGGTGCAATGAGCCATGACTGCACCACTGCATTCCAGCCTGGGCAACAGAGAGACACCCAATCTCTAAAAACAAGCAAGCAACCAAGCAAGTAAAACAAACAAGTGTGGTTGGGCACAGTGGCTCATGCTTATAATCCCAGCACTTTGGAGGCCAACGCGGGTGGATCACCTGAGGTCAGGAGTTTGAGACCAGCCTGCCAACATGGCAGAAACCCGTCTAAATAAAAATACAAAAATTAGCTGGGTGTGGTGGCAAGCACCTATAATTCCAGCTACTTAGGAGGCTAAGGCAGGATAATAACTTGAACTCAGGAGGTAGAGGTTGCAGTGAGGCGAGAATCTGCCACTGCACTCCAGCCTGCGACAGAGTGAGAGATTCCGTCTCAAAAAAAAAAAAAAAAAAAACAAGCTGACATAAGCAATTTCATTGTTCAGGTAAAGACCAAGCAAGGTAAGAAAGACAGGCACTAGTAGATGTAATTGGGTGGTTAAAGAAGATATGATGAATTCAGTTAACAGAGGAGCCAGTGTGAGACCAGGGACTTCCATACTCCTAGTCTAGGACCCTTGGTGTAACCCTGACATGCCTCTTGTTTGTTAGAACATCCCCATAATTTTTTGTTGTCATATCTGTTCCTCATACATTGCCATCCAGTCTCTGCATTACTCATTAAAGATTTTCTTCTTCCAGTTTCCTTACTGGTGTTGAACTCTGGGGACTCATGTTACTGAGAGGAACAAGAGAGTGGCAGGAGGAAAGGTCACTTTGCTCCTCACAACTGACATCAACTGGGGCTTCCAGAAAAAGACACGGATATTGAATGGCTGCTCACCGATAATGAAGGCAACCAAAAAGTGGTAAGTGGACACCTGGCTGGAGTCCTTCCTCCTTGTCCTTCTGCCTTGCCTTTCGTGCCCTCTCCAGTCTTTCTGTTGGCTCTGGAAATATTAGGAACTCCTTTTTATCTGGCTTACTTGAAAGACTTTAGACACAAACTAGAGACGAAAGTATTGTTAAAAAGGATGGCTAACGCCTGTAATCTCAGCATTTTGGGAGGCCAAAGCAGGTGGATCACCTGAGGCTGAGATCGAGACCAACCTGGCCAATGAGGTGAAACCCTGTCTCTACTAAAAATAGCCAGGTGTGGTGGGCTCATGCCTGTAATCCCAGCTACTTAGGAGGCTGAGGCAGGAGAATCACTTAAACCCAGGAGGTTGCAGTGAGCTGAGATCATGCCACTGCACTCCAGCCTGGGTGATGCAGCGAGACTCCATCTCAAAAAAAAAAAAAAAAAAAAAGAAATAATATTATTAGCCAGATGGTGTGGCACAACCTGTAGTCTCAGCCACTCGGGAGGGCTGAGGTGGGGAGGATCACTGAGCCCAGAAGTGCAAGGCTGTGTGAGCCATGATCACCCGTGAATAGCCACTCGCACGTGAGCCTGGGCAACATAGCAAGATCCTCTGTCTCAAATAAATAAATAAGAAGTTGTCTTGGCCGGTGTGAGTCACACCTGTAATCCCAACACTGAACCTGAGAGGGGTGAATCATGAGTCCAGGAGTTCAAGACCAGACTGGGCAACAAAGTGAGACTCCCTCTGTACAAAATTTTAATTAGCCAGATGATGACACATGCCCATAGTCCCAGCTTCTCAGGAGGCTGAAGTAGGAGGATTGCTTGAGTGCAGAAGGATCACTTGAGCCCAGGAGGTCAAGGCTGCAGAGCTTTGAGATCACACCACTGTACTCCACAAGGCAACAGAGCCAGACACTGGGTTCTAAAAACAAAAACAAAACAGAAAGCAAAGAAAGAAAAAAGTTATCCTTCTCTTCTCTGTCTATACTCACTACACCTTATAACATGGTTTATGCTGGGAGGAGGCCAAGGTCTCACTGAAAACAGATTTCAGGATCACTGTTGTAGTTTAATCCTGTTTAAATAGCTACTCCCACATCACTTCAATATTGGATATTGTCATTATTTTGTTCACAGTAATATCTTAAGATACTATCTGTTCTGTAGAGTGAGGTCACCTTAACCTGAGTAGGTTTATTGATTTATTTTTTTACTTTGTATAGTTCCTGTTGTCCAGGCTGGAGTGCAATGGCTCGATTCTGTAGCTCACTGCAACCTCCACTGGCAGGTTCAAGCGATTTCCGCCTCAGCCTCCTGAGGGTTATGTTGGGATTATAGACGTGCACCACCACACCTGGCTAATTTTTGTTGTTTTTAGAGATGAAGTCTCACTCTGTCACCTAGGCTGTAGTTCACAGGGCGCCCATCCTCGGCTCACTGCCACCTCCACCTCCTGGGTTCAAGCGCATTTTCGTGCCTCAATCTCCCAGGTAGCTGGAATTACAGGCGCCCACCACCATACCCAGCTATTTTGGTTTTTTAGTAGATAGAGTGTCACCATGTTGGTCTGGAACTCCTGACCTGAGGTGATCCGCCTGCCTTGGCCTCCCAAAGTGCTGGAATTACAGGTGTGAGCCACTGTGCCCGACCTCTGAGTATGTTTATTTCAACAGCTTTACGCCCTTAGATTTGATATTCTCAGTTCTGAATAAAGTGGATGTCTAAGGTGTTTATTACAGCCCATGTTCCTGTAATAAAAATCCAAGAATGACTCTGATAGATTCTCTTCTTTGATCACACTTGAGGCAGGTGCCTAAGGTCTTTCTGACTAGAGCTAATCTTGGGCTTCCTTCCGCCCCCTCAAACACTCCTTGAGCAAGAATGCTGCTAAGTCAGGTTAGTGAAAATGCTCCAATTTGTATCTCATCACCCTGTCCTGCCTACACAATAATCATCCTATCAAGCAGGTTCAGCCAGAAACCCCAATCCCCCCTGATGTTTCCTCTCAGTAATTTCATGACCCCACCCTGCCCTTCTTGCTGTAAACTCCTCTTGTTCTTGCTGAATCAGAGTCAAGCTCCACCCTGACTCACAGTGGTCTTCTACCATACCGTGGCCCTCTGGAATACAGTCTGTCTTACGCTATCTTTAACAAGTTCGGCCGGGTGCGGTGGTCACTTGTAATCCCAGCACTTGGGAGGCTGAGGTGAGTGGATAACCTGGAGGTTAGGAGTTCAAGACCAGGCTGTATAACATGGCAGAAACTCTGTCTTACTAAAAATACAAAAAAATGAGCCAAGGATGGTGGTATCTGCCATAATCCAGCTACTTGGGAGACTCGAGGCAGGAGAATAGCTTGCAGCCAAGATCGAGCCATTGTACTCCAGCCTGGGCAATAGAGCAAGACTGTCTCAAAAAAAAAAAAAAAGTTTCACTGATAATTTTCTCATTAACAATTTCACACATCTAACTCACCCAAGTATTTTCATTTGATTTAAAGAAAAAGGACTGCTTGGTTACATAACCAAGTGAATATAAGATTAGATGTTAATTATTGATTTCAAAAAGCCCCTGATATGGCTTTAAGCAGTCATACAATTCCTACTCTGTCTTTTCAGTTGATACTGTGAAGCAAGGATGTCCATTTATTCAATCATTCAGACATAATAAATTTATTTAGCACTACTAGTGCCATGCTAGGTACCAGGATACAATACTGAAGAAGACATCATAGTCCTTGCCTTCTTAGAGGTTATAGTGAAAAGACATTCAATAACTTTACAAAGAGCCTGGCACAGTGGCTAGTGTCTGTAATCTCAGCTACTCAGGAGGCTGAGGTGGGTGGATTGCTTGAACCCAGAAGTTTGAGACCAGCCTGGGTGAGACAGTGAGACTCATCTCTTAAATACTTTAAGAAAGGAGGGAGAGGTAGGCAGAAAAAGACAGGAACAAAGAACCAAATAAAATTAGCAATATGCCAGGATACAAATCTGTTTAGCACATATTATCTCATTTAATTTAATATGTGTTGAAGCTGTGTAGCTTGTGCCTGTAGTCCCAAAGCCAGTACTGAGGCTCAGGTGGGAGGACTACTTGAGGCCAGAGTCCCAGATGGCCTGAGCAACAGAATGAGAACTCCTATACTTCTAACACACAATTTTTAAAATTTGTTAATGTAATACTCCTAGCAACTAGAATTAATGGGTCATTTTATAAATAAGGAGCTGAGGTATACCCACATGTTCGTAAACATACAAAACATAGTGAACAAATTGCATAAAGTCACCTAATTTGCATTTTCAAATTAGGGGCACTGGGCTGGGCCGGGCGGGCACAGTGGCTCATGCTCAATCCCAGCACTTTGGGAGGCCCAGGCAGGAGGGCCTCCACTTGAGCTCGTGGAGTTCAAGACCAGCCTGGGGCAACATGGTGAAACCCCACCTCACTAAAATTATACAAAAATGAGCTGGGCATGGTGGCACGGGTCATAATTCAGCCACTTGTGGAGGCTAAGGTGAGAATGGCTGGAGCATGGAAGTCGAGGCTGCAGGGCAGATGGTGCCACTGCACTCCAGCCTGGGCAGTGACAGAGAAGGCTGAGACCATCTCAAAACAAAACAAATGAACAAAAACAAATTAGGCAGCCTGACCTCAGTGCTCACTGCGAACCACTAGCTGTGGCATCTTCAAATAATTTGAGAAAGTGTAATATGTGCTATGTAGGTAGTTTTCCTCCAAGAAAAACAATTGGCGATGAAAACTTGATCTAAAACATCAAGAGAGAGGTGATCCATCCCATTCAGAGTTTTACAGTTGCTCTGTGCGATGGCAGGCACAGAATGACTGCCAGAAAGTTGTAGCTTCCTCCATGTGCTCCATCTGTTCTATACAAGTCTAACAAATTGCTCCAGGTCCACCAGGAATGACATAATACAAACAGCCCCAAACCACTAAAATTAGTATTTCTATAATTTTTTTCTTTGTTGGCAAAAGGACTAAATTGATGTTCATTTTTCTCCCATCAACACCCTGATGAACTGCGAATCTCAGCAATTCATATTTCTGAGAATTAAAAACAAAATAGGCCAGGCACAGTGGCTCGCACCTATAATCCTAGCACTTTGGGAGGCTGAGGTGGGCAGATCATTTGAGGTCAAGAGTTTGAAACCAGCCTGGCCAACATGGTGAAACCCTGTCTCTACTAAAAACACAAAAAAATCAGGCCAGGCGGGTGGCAGGCACCTGTAATCCCAGCTACTTTTGGGAGACTGGCAGAACTGCTTGAACCCAGGAGTGGAGCATATAGTGAGCAGAGATCGCACCACTGCACTCCAACCTGGGTGACAGAGTGAGACTCGTCTCCCACTCAAAAAAAAAGATCATCTTGCAATGTATAATTTCACCTTTCCAAAGATGTCAGATGCTTGCCTGTATGTTATCCCTTTTTTCTTCATTAAATATTGAGACAATCTTGCAGCTCAGGCAACACAATGAGACCTCTTAAAAATATGTGTGTGACGGCCAGGCGTGGGCGTGGTTCACACCTGTAATTCCAGCACTTTGGGAGGCTGAGGCCGCAGATCAGAGGTCAGGAGTTCGAGACCAACCTGACCAACATGGTGAAACTCTGTCTCTACTAAAAATATAAAATTAGCCAGAGGATGGTGGTACCTGTAGTCCCAGCTACTCAGAGGCTTGAGGCAGGAGAATCGCTTGAACCCAGGATGAGGAGGTTGCAATGAGCAGAGATCACACCACTGCACTCCAGCCTGGGTGACAGAGTGAGACAATGCCTCAAAAAAAAAAAAGTGTATGTCAGGGCTGTGCACAGTGGCTCACACCTGTAATTTCAGCACTTTGGGAGGCCAAGGTGGGCAGATCATGATGTCAGTTTGAGAGCAGCTGGCCAATATGGTGAAACCCTGTCTCTACTAAAAATACAAAAAAATTAGCTGGGCCTTGTGAAGCAAGCACCTGTAGTTCCAGCTATTTGGGAGGCTG